GCTCATTTCACTGATTTCGTTTTTTTGTTAGCTCTGGCAATGGTGTTACTTCAAACAAGCTCCACATTTCATTGTTTGGGGGAAAAAGTTAAGTAGACAAAATGGACAAATAATGATACTTCATTAGAAATTAATAGGCAATGATCTCAGGTGTGGGCAGATTTTTGTGAAATAGTATTAATTCGGTCCAAAACCGAAACCGATCCGAACCGATCCGAATTTCGGTTAGGACGAATATTCGGATGAAGGGAAAAAAATCTGGATCTGGATGAGAGTTTTGAGAATTCGAAAAATTCGGATTGGATGCGGATTGAGCTTAAAACCGATCCGAACCGAATATGCCCAGCCCTATATTATGTTATGCACTGCATGGGTTTCCCAGTTTAATGGATCAAATGGATTAGGGAGTGTCTTTCAACCCCATCCTTCTTAGTCCTATTAAATGGCTCCTCCTCAGGTTTTTTTTCAAAGTAATAAGGGTATAAGACAGGGGGATCCTCTATCTCCATATATCTTTGTGTTGGTCATGGAATATTGGTCTATTGGTATAGAACTAGCTACTATTTCAGGGAAAATCCATAATTTTAAGAAGCACCAGGATCTACAAGTCTCTCATATCTTATTTGCTGATGATATGTTGGTTTTTTTGTAGAGCAAATAGGAAGTCTTTTGAAGGTATCAACACTTTGTTGGACTCTATGGCATTGAATACTGGACTGAGTATAAATATAAACAGGAGCAAGATATTTTTCAGCAAATGTTGCAAATATAAATGTGTTTTAAGCTCTATTGTGGGAATTTCAAGAGGGAATCTACCTATGAAATACTTGGGATTACCTTTATCAGTCAACTACTCAAAAGCTAAGGATTTTCTTCCTCTAATTGACAAAGTTAGAAATAAGATTGAGGGTTGGATGACACACTCCTTATCATTTGGAGGGCGACTGGAGCTCATTAAATCCTTATTTAGTACCCCAACCTATTGGTATTTTGTTTATAACTTCCCTCAATCTATTGTGCGAAGTT